TTACTCAGGGCTCATGCTAACAAACTCTCTTCCTGCCCACCAACTGCCATTGTTAGAGCTGTGGAAGGAAAGCAGGGATTTAAAAAGTTGCTCCCAAGGCATTCCTTGTGATGTCCTGCATCGTGTGAAACTGTGCATCTCTGTTTGTTGACATGGTCAGATGAGAATCATGTTCCAAGCCAGTCACCAAACACGGGGACATTCTGTCAACAAGATGCTGAGTGTCACAAAGCAGCAGAAGCTGAAGACTTTGGCAACAAAGTCCTGTGCTGTAGGGCCACTGCCCCCCAATTTAGTTAGAAGCCAGGCAGCAATGCCCAACTCTTTGCGAGCTTTGTCCCTTCACTGAACGGATTTCAAAGCTCCTCCAAGTGCGTGGGAAGGAAATCAGAATCATAGAATGATAAGGGGTTGGAATGGCCCTTAAAGATCATCTAGTCCCAAACCCCCCTGCCATGGGCAGAGACACCTTCCACTAGCCCAGGTTGCTCCAAGCCCCGTCCAACCTGGCCTTGAACACTGCAAGGGATGGGGCAGCCACAACTTCCCTGGGCAACCTGTGCCAGGGTCTCACCACCCCCACCGGGAAGAATTTCTTTTGTTTATCTAACCTAAATTTCCCCTTTTTCAATTTGTCCCCATTACTCCTTGTCCTACGGAACATTACTCCTTTCACTACGGAAATCATGTTTTAAACTCAGTATTGCTTTTTCAGGGTGCAAACTGGTGGCTAAATGGGAAACAAGCCCAAGGGGTGGGTTAGAAATTGGAAGCCAGCCCCAAGGCATATCACCTGAGGGAAGAGAAGGGTCCATCTCTTCCCCCGGAGCATCAGGAGCTGGTCTCACCCATCTCGGAGTCCGGGACTAGCATTGAGGCAGCCTGGAAAAAGCAGGATAAGAGAGTAAGAATTACTCTACTGAAATGGAAATCTCTCCCCAGGCCGTGAGAGCAGGCTGCCCCTGCACCTCACAGGGGAAGGCCTCGGGCCCTGCCTCCGTTTCAAGTTTGCGGAACTGGACATGGGGGGAGTTTTGGTTGGAGAAGCCTACAGCTACGAGGTGAGCAGCAGGGGCTGGGCTAGATCCTGATGGCTCCTGGGGCAGAGGGGAGCCTGGTGGACCTGTGGAATTTCTGGCAACTTGGGCAGTTGTGAGCAGGGAATATTTGACATACTAGTCAAATCTGGGGAATTTCACAGAATCTGGGTCCTTTTCCGGGATTTGAAAGGTGTTGTCTGTGGTTCACAAAACCCCAATTCCTGCTTTTTGGCAACCTCCCTTGGAGATCAGCTGGGATGCTTTCTGCAAAACAGCCACTCAACACATGAAAGCAACACTGGGTCAAAAAGCTGAAGTGTTCAGAGGCTTCTGTTCCAGCCTCAGACTCAAGGCACCTGTTGTCCTGTTTTGGCTTCTGCCACGTAGCAGCACAGAGCATCTTCTGCCTTTCCAGGGGTTAATAATTTATTAGAAAGCAGCTCAGCCTTCTGTAAGAAAGGAAGGTTGCTCATGTATTTCCATTTTGCTTTCTTGCTGCTGCAGGCAATCCTGGTTAACACAGGAGCTATCAACGCTCCCTTCAAACTCATCCCTCCAACCACAGCCCACGGCTCCTGCTTCACCTTTCAGCCCCAGCAGGGCATCGTTCCACGCAATGGGATCCTGCCCATCCAGATCTTCTTCAGTTCCAGCACCCTGGGGGAGTTCGAGGAAGAGTTCCATTTCAATGTGGCTGAATGCCCTAAGCCTGTGACCTTGACTATCAGGTGAGGAAGGCTCTGGGAGCTTGGTGGACACATCTGTAGCTGTCTCTGAGTAATCATCTCTCACCTGCCTCATTTGGTGGTGGAGCAGAGAAAAAAGGTGTTGCTTGAGGTCTTAGTCTTGGCTCTGATGTTGGCATCCCCTTAGTGTGGGGGTGCCTTCTGCCCAGTGCAGGTACCCAGGAGCTGGAGTGACTCCTTCCTGCAGGGACTTCCTTCCGTTTTGGCCGTGCCAGGCAGTGGGAAGGCATCAGCTCTGGGCAGTTGCTGGTCTGGGATGTCCCCTATGAACACCCAGGGCTTTGGAGATGGGCCAGCCTGGGTGACTCTGCAGCCAGAAGAAGTGGTTCTAAAATCCTCTGTTAATGATCCGTGCCAAAGGGGCAGCAGCAGCCTCACATCATCCCTCATGCCCGTGCACAGGCACAGGCTGTGCTCCTGAGTCCTGTGCAGGGAGTGCTCTGGG